GTGCCTATTTTAACATGGTGTTCCAGTAATATTTCTTCGATTCTCTTTTACTTTCCATTTCCATTTCCATCGTCTACCTTTTCATATTTTTGGATCATGATGCACATATTATATTATGCATCACTTCTTAGTACACGTATTAATTAATTCCCCCTCCCCCTACTTTTATCATTAGCTGATTGAAGAGTTGGACGGTTTAGAAAGGAAGAGTGAAGCTTTGAAACCATTGTTCCTTACACCACAAATGTGTTCTTTCTCTCGATGAGATGGTTTGAACCTTTTGATCTTATGGTGACAAAGAGCCTGTTGGGAAATCAGAATAAGGTGGAAACTGTTGTGTATTATTACTCAAATCATATAGGATTTTTATAAAGTACAGAGACTGACTTCTACAATAACTCTAACACTAATACGGAAATTATCTAACTTCTACGACTCTGATATGGAATATAACTTTGACCAATTACATAACGGTACTCGTAGTATAACACAATACTACTCATACTACCCATACTCTAATAGAGCCCTCATGGAATCGCTTATAATCATCGCGAAGGATATATACATGAGTTTGAAGTTTGAACCCGCGAAATTGCATATAGTCCCATCTAGAAATGGGAACCTAATTAAATACAAAAATGTGGTCCTAGATAAGGGAAGGGTACCACAAAGGAACATTTCCTTCAAGTAGCATGCATAACATTTATGGATACAGAAGCTGGAGGTTTATTTGAACAAGGCATGCAGCAGCATTAAAAGCCAAGAGGACGACGTCGCCATAAAAATAGACAAATCAGTCAAATCGGCCAAGACCTTTTCCTTGCGAAAAGGACGTAATTGATCGCTAATTCTAGCCAAGTTGGTCCTTTGATTTGTGTTGTTGATTAGATTACAGATTAGAAGGCTGAATGAATGCAAATTGTACAGGCTTGAATGGAACGTTTGTGGGGATTCTGCGATCTACTAGTACTATCTGTATCTGTATGGGAACCCAAATCTGCTGCTATCTGTACGTATAGTGTCAATTTTTAACTTGTAAGTGGGAACAAAATCACAGGCTAGCTAGCTGTTAGCAAGGGTGGATTTTGTGGCAGGGGAGAGGGGGACCATTGCTTCTTCGAAGTCTCAGCTAACTGTTTTTATCCATAGAATGGGTGTGGCTAATTATTCACAACTACTCCCCTCCCTGATGAACAGTAAATCGACTACCCAATCAAATTTTCAACATCATGGTAAGTAATCAGAGATGCTAAGCTGTCAGATTAGGGGGTTCGTGTCACTAATTAATGAAGCGTGCTTTTCAGCTTACCAGCTGACTCCCGCACCCCACCAAAATACATTTCCAGTTAGTCAGTTACTCATGGCAATGGCACAGGCAAGACAAGTATCTCAATATACCAATACTCGTTTGCACTAAATGTGGGCCAGGTCGGATAATATTAATACCTTCACGGAATGGGTCGGGGCACTTCGATCCTATTCTTATATGATATATATGTGAAAAAGAACGGTATTATTTAACTCTTGTACGAGAACACGTGGAGAAAATATCTCATAAATTAATGGTAAATAGTTGAACGATATTGTCTTACAATTTCTTTGGTTTGAAAAAATATGATTTTAAAAGATCAAAAGATGATAAATATATGTAAATATTGATGCAAATTATGATAGAACAAGCCGAAAACTTAGTGGGATTAGATGGACAGATCAGAAACGATACACATGTCGCGACTCAAACTACTACAAGTTGAATAGTACCCACCTCAAACAGATCAAGATAAGTCGGATGGTACCATTCAAATCCGAAATTGTCATCCTTATTAGTTATATTAATGGCCCGCATACCACTCCGTTAGTGCGGGTAAATCTGCCAAACAAATGGGCTTATACATAGCCACTGGACAGCAAAGCCCAGATGTCCCAGAAAAAAAAAATATAATGTAGCCCAACCCACTATCGTGTTGTTTCTTGAGGCCTGTGAGAATGGAGTATGAACATTGATTCATTATACCTTGTGAGTTGTGAGGCTGTGATTGTGAATCCAAAAGTTAAAAGGAACCAAAATGGTGATCAATGCAGTAAAAATTGTATTTTTTATTTTAAAATTTTATGTTTTTACACTTTTTGTTCATCAAAATTAGGGGTGGGCAACGGGAAACGGGTATTTGGGTATACCCGTACCCGTCCCGTTTTTTAAGGGTTACGGGTACCCATACTACCCGTAATATTATAAACGGATGGGACTTGGGATTGTACATTCCTAATATGGGTACCCGTGGGTTACCCGTAAATACCCGTTTGGGTAATATGGGTACCCGTTATACCCATTCAAAAGGCAGAATGGCGACAACAGCCTGCAGTGGGAGAATGGCAGCACCAACCATTCCGAACTTTTGCTATATGTTTTCTTTGTGGAATGTATTAGAATAGCTGCCTACTCCGAACTTTTGCTCCTGCCGTCATTTCTCTGCTAATACATGTTTATGTAGTGGGTTTGGGATGTAATTGTCTTTAGCTAAAACGTCGTCTGGTTTTGGGACATGTTTTGAAATGAATGCTTGTGTATATAGAGATTGAATTTATGTTTTTATCATATCGTGTTCTTATTATTCCCCGCAAGAGCATGTTATTATAAAGATATGTAATGTGATGTCATTTAAACTTTGGGTATTTATGGGTAGTATGGGTACCCGTTATCCGTCCCGTGCGGATAATGGGTACCCGTTTCCCATATGGGTTTGGGATATGGGATTGACTTTGGTCTCCAAATGGGACTGGGTACCCGTTTAAAACGGGACGGGATACCCGTCCCGTCCCGTTGCCCACCCCTAATCAAAATGCTTTTAACGTAGAATCACATATTTCTTTTTTACATTTGTAGTCAAAACCTATGCTTTAAATCTAAAAAGTTTACATTTTAACATTTTAGGTCACCAAAACACTTCTACATACAATCGTAATTTTGAATGATGGCGTGAACCTTAAATCAAGGGATAAATCTGACTACACTAGTCAGATTTATCCCTTGATTTAAGGTTCACGCCTAACAAAACTTGCCTTCAAATTAGAACCATACGTATGTAAAAGGTCCAAACTGAAAAAATCTTGATTTTTGCATAAAACTCAATTTCGAGTAGGATCAATTGAGAACAAAATAGGCCAGTCAGAGGCATTGTGAGGTGATGAAAGGAGACTGATGAGTGGATGAGATTAAGAAAATGGTTTCATATAGAATTCGTTGTAGTCTAGGGTGGGCATTGCGCGATTCGGAACGCACCGCAACGTATTAATATAAATAGCAATGCACTATATGTCAATTGGACCGTACCACATATTGGATTATAATGTAATCGATGAGTTCAAACTGAATCACATAGGTTAGTATGGTGCGGTCGTTTAGACCGCACCACATGTTTGACCACAATTCATTATAAGTAATATATGATTAGATAACACTTTATTGAACATTCACCGACTCTCTTTCACGGATTGCACACTACCGGAACGGACATAATTTGGAAGGGAGAGGAGAGGAAAGAAGAAAATTGAACAAAACTAGAAAGAATTTAACTTCCCATGATGAAAGTGAGTATTTCCCATTACTCTGTGTCGTGATTACTAGCAAGAAAACCCAACAGTGCAGAGACAATAATACTTACACTTAAAAAATAATGGAGAATGATTTTAAGGCTAATTATCATAAACGATTACACAAATAGTCACTTAGTACAAAACGGTGACTAAAGTTTAATTTTGCACATTTCACTCAAATACGTTTGGATGAATACCGAATAAGTTATTCCGTCCAATTGGTATTTACTGACGAGAAATCTTACCATTTCAGACGGCGTATTTTGTTTGTCAGTAATAATGTTAACATTACCGACGAAAGTATTTTTTTCATCGAAAAAAATACTTTTCTGACACGCTTGTACCATTGTCAGAAAGTTTTTGTCAAAACAGTGTGCCTTTTTTGTAGTGCCATCCAAAAATCCGTTAAATGGATACAGTTAGCACGCCATGTCAACAAATAAATAAAGCATAAAACTAACCATCTATACCTAATCGAACCAAGTCAAACCACCCAACCTGGAGACTACTCCTATAAGAATAGAACCCCAAGTCCAGAGGAGGTGAGGTAGTAGAGCACACTAGGTGTCCGGAAGCAGATTTGTCAGCACAATCTTGTTGCACATTAATATATGAGTCCTCCACGAACGACTGGAGATAATCGTATGCTTCCCGTCGCCATTAGCGGCAAGTCCGGCTCCCATTCCGACTAGAAATTCCCCAAAGTTAGAGTGGCGGGTGGGGGTAGTATGGGGCAGGTCGTGGACACTATCAGAGCTTTGCAGGCCAATCTGCCAAGTAAAAAGCGATGGTCTCATGAGCTCCAATATTGAACCAATAAAATTTACTTGCGGTTCGTGATTTTCAACGGTAACAGTTCGGTTTTGGATTAATTGGACCGCAAACCATGAGCTGCTAAACATTTAGACTGCAAGTCTTACGAAGCTGTTTGGATAGACCGCAAAAGCGATTTAGGCGGTTTGGATGCACCAATACCCATCCTAATGTGGCCACCGTGTCGCCGCGGCGCTTGGAGCATGTGGACTCGTGATTTTAGTGATCTTGTCTCATGACCTCTTGCTTAATGATCGTGGAGACTTATTTGCGGCCATGGTCTTTTCGCGATAAAGGCATGGCCCTTTCGAAAACTTAGTTGTTTGGCTTTAAAAATCTAGTACCATGACGCTCAACATAAATAACATTAATTGTTATAATTAAATTGATCTTTTAAAGCACTAAATATCTTGTAAATCACCCATATGGTACTAAATAATTTTTTGATGTAAACACTAATATAACTATACAACACAAACCCTTTCAATTCCAATCATAATGAAAAAACTAATATATTCCTTGTCATTTGCAGCAAATAGTAAAACCATAGGAAACAAAGGTAACAGAAAAAAACCCTAAGCAGGGAAAATAAATCATAGATGGTGAAGTTTATAAGCTTCCCAGGTTGAGCATACATAAACCACAAGTTTATATAAGAGGGCGAGTGCTAGTCCTATCATTATCTGATTCCTCACTGAGATTGTTGCGAGACGCTTCTTTTTGGATCGACTCACGTCGAAATTTAGAGACAAGCACTTAAGCTCCACAGAGTAGGATGGTTTCCCTCCTTCTTGTTGCGGCAAACATACCACTTCCCCTGAGATACACTTGAAATCTCCCAAGCTCCACTCCTTCATGCATATCATCAATCGGTGATTCAATGTCAATGAACCAAGTTTTGTAATTAACTTTTGCTACTCATTTGAGCAATTACATATACTGATAGGTACCTGCAAGCGACGTCCAACGGAGACGATGAGAGAGCGAGGGCCAGCGTCGAAGGAGAGAAGGCCTTGGGAAGATTGAAGTAAGAAGTGAGAGAGGGAGACTGGCAAGTGGAGACACAAAGCGTGGCCGACACTATCATCAGACTGTTGTTGTTGTTGTTGATTTACCAACTCTGCATGGTTCTCGTTGCTTCTGCGGTTGTATCTGTACAGGCGCACCACCGAATCTTTCTCCTCGAACCTCCTCCCGAACTGCCGCTTCGTCCAGTTCTCCGAGAACACCTCGCATATCAGCTTCGCCATCTCATCCAGCTTCGTCGCTATCTTCTCCATCACTTCCCTACGCGATAAGTACGTGTCTCACATCTTATCTATACATCATCAATTTAATCAAGCTTGATTAGTAGTTAGTTGGGTTAATTAGTTACCCGAAGTGGCGGGAACCATCGCGGCTGACCCAGCCCCGGGCCCATTCCATGCGCTCCTCTCCCGAGCGGACCCACTCAATCTGCTCTTTGTACTCGCGAAACTTGACAAAGTTACGGGGCGGGTGGCCCATGTCGGTGTCCTCAAGAACCTGAAAAACGTGCTCGGCATTCTGGACGAGTGATCGAAGCTCTTCAGCAGAGATACCATGGTCAGTGATGGTGAAGGTGCCAAACTCCCTCGCTGCTTGGAGGAGGCGGTTCACGGCATCGTCGTCACGAGACTCTATGGATGGGAGACTGATTACTTGTGGCTCGTATGTATTAGGTTTGGGAGAAAGCTCTGGCGTCATCGCAACAGAAGAAATAGTCATGGAATCCGGGACTTCAGAGAGGTCTGGTACTTGAAGGGAGTGGCGGAGGTAGTTAGTGAAGATGGAGTTGGCGGCAGAGCGACAACCTTTTGCAGTTGGGATGGGAGACGGTGGTGGTGCCTGGAGGTGCTTATCGCTGTCGCTTCGTATCATAGATGTGTGCGGCCTGAAGGTAAAAGAAAAGAAAGAAGAAGAGAGTAGTAACACATGCATTGGAAAAGAAGAAGAAGGACAAGGGATGTTTGAGAGGATTGCAAAGGAGGAAGGAAAAGCGGGTCGAGAAGAATGTGGCGAGGCCAGAAGATTGAGAGGTTTACCACTTTTGAATATTTCTCCCTCATGTTTCTGAAATTACAAAGTTGTTTCAATATTTCTCGGTCACGTGTTGTTTTAGAATAGAAGACACAATGAGTAGTAAATGTCAACTTTTTCCTCAAATGCATTTTTTTCTTCATACTAGTGTTGTTGTAACTATAATAAAATTGAACTTTTACCACTAATATTTGCGGCATATAATATATTGGTTTCTTAAAATATAGTATGCATGTCTTATATATTATTTGTCTATTTGATACCTAATAATGACCTCTAAAAATCTTAATATATTTTGTAAAATTTTTAAAAAAATAAAATATTATTTTTGACTGCACTTTTTTTAACTATCCTCTACAACTTTGCCTCCATATTTATTTAATTATAATTATTATATTAATTATTGTAACTTTTAGCGGCATATAATTATTTGATGTGATTACCGGTTGAAAACTTTGTCATGCAGTAGTTTAAATTGTCATGTACTTCTGGCTCCAATAATTTTCCCTTTTGTTGCGGTTAAAACCGCTGTTAAGGCTTATGCGGCGGCATCATCTATTCGTGTAGACATGACGTGGTAGGATATTGAATGTATGAAGCTACATATCGACCCCATATTTTCTTTAAGCATAGAAGACTCCTCCATACGAGGATGAGTTCGAGAACTCAAAAAGGATGGTAGAAAGCACTAATCCGTACGTTTTTCTTAAAATGGATCCTAGTCTCATGACAAATATATCCTCCATAGTCCCTACACTAGCCTCCCTTAGGTAACGTATTAATGCAGAGACTAGCAATTCAAAGTATGATGAACTTCGAATTTTCTTTGGGTGTGACATTACTAGATTTGTTTTGAATTTTGTGCACAAATACACAAAAAAAACCCATTTCCCCATGTACATGAACATTAAAAAATTATGGTATATCACTTGAAGCACAAACTTTCTAAATCACACCCATACTTTAAATGGGACAATGTCCTCATTGGACCAAACAAGGAGTATAGAAAGGTAGAACAAAGTTACCACATTGCCAAATTTCATGTATATCGGCTATTTCCTTTTGACGGTTGGTTTTCCTATACTACAAGAAAACTAGCATTTGCAGACATAGGTTATTTGACTCAAAATGTCACTTATTTGCTTATGTATGTTTTTCGATGCAAATATATTATTTGAATCATTTGCCTCTGTCTCGGATTTCTTTTGGAGACAAATATAGATGCAAATAGTATTTGCATCAAATAATAGAATTGGAGGCAAATATTTTTATTCTAATGATATGTTTTGAAGCAAATAATTTTGTTTCAATTTAGCCTTTGGGAAACACATAATATGATCTGGAGACGCATATACTTGCCTCTAATAATAGAATTGGAGACAAAAAAATTTTACTCTAATGATAGGTTTTGAAGCAAACAATTTTGTTTCAACTTAGCATTTAGGGCACACGTAATAAGCTATTTTTTTCCTCGAGAAATGTCAAGAACATAGTTAGAAAGAGCCACTACCCACAATCCCTTCCCATCCCACTTACAAGCCAATCAACACCTAATACGCTTTGGAGTCACATATATTTGCCTCTATACATGGAAGGCAATCCAATATGAAACCTAAAACTCAGCAAAATGCCTAACAAGATCATATTTTCCATTTAATCTCAAACTCACATAATTTACCATCTCATATGAGATCCAATGACTAACCTCCCATGATTTGAACCAAATACCAGAAACCAAATAGGTATCTTCCCCAGCACCCTCCTTCGCCATCCGAAAAAACCCATCTCCAGAGCTCATTTTTAATTCCAGAATAAACCCCGTCGCAAGAACCCAAACCTTGGCTTTCAGCGGCGGCAACGTTGTTGGGATTTAATCTCGTACATGCATCATCATCGTCGGTATGGAGGGAGGTTGATTCGGCTGGAGCCTGACAAGGAACTTCCCCAGGAAAAAACAAACAAAGAATTGAAAAGTTAAACTGTTCTTCTCCAAATTGTAATCAATAGAGAAAACCCCTAAATAAAACAAAAACCCCCCACCTATTAGAAAACGTCAGATCCAGAGAATCAGAAGACAAGAAAACTACCAGAGAGGAGGAGAGAATGATATGACGACAACCAGCCTTGCTTCTGACATCATTGTTGATTGGCCTATATTGACCATTTTGTGTTGCCGAAGAAGAAGAAGAAGAAGAAGAAGAAGAAGAGGAGGAGGAGGAGGGAGGTGATAGGTGGGTAATAGAGCTGGCTGAGTTAGTAAGAGAGGAAGACGGTCGCAAGGGCTGTCCATTTGGTTTTGGTTTTTTGTTTTTAACCGAAACCAAACCAATTGGAAAGCTAATGGTTTCAGTTTTTTGGTTTTAAACCAATAAGCAAACTTAATGGTTTTGGTTTGGTTAAAACCGAAAAACCAATAGAAACCCTTACGAAACCAATAAGAATAAAAATTATTTATCAACATTTTTTTTTGTTTCTTTTGACATGCATGCCAACCAATAATTTGTAACGGCCATTTACCATTATTATGACGTTAATTGAATAAAAAGGAGAGAAATGAGAATAAATATGAGTGTATGAGTACTTGTTGGTTTTTTGGTTATCCAAACCAAAACCAAAACCATTAAAGTCCTTATTGGTTTTTGGCAACCGAAAATCAATAAAGGCCTTAATGGTTTTGGTTTTTGGGATTTGGTTTTCGGTTTTTCATACTTAATGGTTTGGTTAACCAAACCAAACCAAATTGACAGCCCTAGTCGCAGAGGAAGAGAGCAGTATGAGAAGATTATGGGGTGGTTTGCTTGTTGGATTTGAAAAATGAGGGTTTTGGCCAATAAAAACCTTGAGATTTATGTTGGATTTATTGGATTATGGATTTGAAGAGTCTAATGTTTGCATGATAGATTTGATGATGGATTTGTGATGGATTTGTTAAATAAGTAAATAACCATCAAGGATTTTCAAATCCCAAATCAATATGTGGGATTTACAAGTCCGTGAGGTCCACGGATTTAGCACCCTTCAAAAAACAATGGACTTATGTTAAATCCATCAAGCTTGGGATTTGGTTACCAAATCCATGACCCAAATCCAACAAGCAAACGACCCCTAAGATGTCTGCTAGTTCCTTTGTTTTCTTCATGAAAGAAGATGAAAAAAGATGAAAAGAAAATAAAAGGAGATATGAAGAAGAGTAGAAGACAGAGGGGTAGATGGAATGAAGTAAAGGGGTTTTTGTTCTGAAAAGTGAGGAGGGAAATTTGATGGGAGGGGTGGGGAGGGGACTTGAAAATTTTGGTCGGGCGGGGATTCAAATTTTTGGTTGGGCAGGTAGCACCAAATCGTGTATTTTTTTGGTTAACCACATATGGAGGCAAATACTATGTCTCTTTGTAGGTCTTATAAATTGTTGTGAATTGAGAATAGATATACTTACATATGGAGACAAATAATATTTCTTTCTAAAAGCCTTTAAAATTATTGTGAATAGGTGACATATACAATAACGTATGGAGACAAATAATATTTCTTACTAAAAGTGTTAGAAAATCTTATAAAATTGAGACAGATACAATGACATATCGTGACAAATAATATATCCGCGTCAAAAGATTAGCTATAGAGACTAATTTAATATTTGCGTCTGATTATTTATCTCCGAAGGTCAGTTTTTGTAGTGCTATGAACAACGAAAATGTGTAAAATGGAGAGAGCAAGTGCGTCATCTCCTCCTCTACGACAGAACCTAAGAGGTTCTCCTAACTGGCTCTCTTAAGGCAATCCAACTTGAGAATGAGTAGAGAGCTTTCAATGCTAGGCAGCATGCATTGAAGCAAGGCCATAATGGCATTGGAATCGTGATGTCATAAGCGACGAACACATATATGAACAACCGCTGAGTGTCTCTATTATCATGTAAGTGTGATAATCACAACGAATTGTCATAAAAAAAGTGTATGAAGAAAGAATGCTGACACCCTCACTCCCCGTAAGAAGAAGAGTGATTTCAAGGGCTTACCAATGCATCTATCATGTATCATTATGTGGCGTTCTTAAAGAGAGTGACATTACATGAATCCCAATTGTTCACCCCATACTTTAGTTTTCCGTATCAAAGCTTCGAAGGAGCTTAGATGTATAAATTGAAACCAACGTCGAGGGTGACACCCTCGCACGCTAGGTATGTGGCACAAGTAGAGGGCACCCAACCTCGATCCATAGATACAAAATAAGAATCCAATAATCCAATCTACTAAGAAATCGTTTGTCTTCATTTCTTCTAATCCCAACTCCATTTCAACACAAACCAATAAGAGCAAGCTCTAAGGATATGAAAAAGGAAGCATAAGAGCCAAACTGTCATAAGTATACGTTGAATGGACATATGAATCTCAAAGGTCCGAAAATCAAGCGACCACATTGAACCGCTCATGCACTCACAGGGTTTCGAACTAAGGATATTAGGAAAAGTGAACACAAAGATGAAGAATACGAGTTGGGTTGTGTGGATGAATGCTTCGACAATGGCGGTAGAGTAAGCAAACAAAGGTATTGCAATGGTAGATATAGGGATGGTCCTAGGCAAGCATACATGGTCGAAGATGGGTGGAAATAAAAGGATGATGGAATAATAGTTGTAGCAAAACATTCCCCATATTGAGGTCCAATACTAGGACAATACCCCCTTTCAAAATATCGTCCTAACGCTCTCTCTTTAATGTAGCGCCCTCTCTTTAATGTCTTTTATCTAGGCATTTCTAGAACTCTTTCTATTGATTTGACCAATGAGGATCTAAGGGACATTACCAAAAGTGATCATTTGGGGCAGATGACATGAGGGATGGATTAGAAGCAAAGTTGTGAGTCGTGGGTGAGTCATCAATACGAATGTGTAATGTACGTACTATCTCCTCAAACTCTCGCTTGCTATCCTATGATAGCGAATTCCTCTCATTGGATTCTGTAGCATGGAATTCGAGCTCCTTTTCCATGTCAAATGGAACGGTCGCATCGACGCCTTCCTCCTTGTCTTTCGAAGTAATCTTTGTATAATATGATTCACATTGTTGATTCTCATTGTAAGTTGATGTTTATGAACATAGATCAATGCACTAGAAGTGGCTAATATGGGCCTCCCAAAGATGATAGAGTAATCTATATCTCAATGCCAAGTAGTACCATGAGTTGCATGTGGGAAGGTATGTTATCCATCATGAGCTTGCAAGATATCTCACGATTAGACTCAAGAAGTTGCCTGATTGCTCTTAAGGGATCAGACATCCCCATAAGAGCTTTCAACGTTGGTATGACAGCTTATTTCCCTCCTAAAGTAAAGATTAAATCATTGAGAACCCTCTAGTCAGACCCAGAGTCATTTATCGGAGTGTTGAAAAAGGCACCCCATTATCCAAAATGGGAGGAAATTTGGTCATTGGGGCTGCAATTTTTCTTATGATGAGGACTGGTCCTCGTATGAACCTTTGTGGTAGACTTGACCTTCTTGTAAAAACGTTTGTATTTACGGTTAGGAAGGGTCATTCCCGAGTCAAGAGACAAATCACTGTCCCGAGGAGGCATGAAATTCCTTTCCACCTTCTTCTTCGAGACGAAGGTGCTTACCATAGTCTTCATGGGGTTACTAGTTTCCTTGTTGTGGTGAGGGGATGTAGGATGCTCCTCGTAGGAGTTTCGTTGGATAGATGCCGCGTTGGGAGTTTTACTCTCCACATGCTTCTTCCCCCAAAATAAGATTTGGAAGCTCATAGCAAGAAGGGAGAAAATTATAGGCATTGGCGATACCAATCTTTCATTCCCCTTAGCATACCTTTTTGGTCCAGACGACCTCAGATTCTGCTTGTGCAGCCCATATGGCTCCTGAAAACTGCTCAGTTTGTTGAGTTATACGTTTATCAAATGAGAAATAAATTGAAAGTTTACTTCAATTTGTTTATTACGAATGATAATTTGAATCATCTACGTAAAGTTGTCACCAAATTGAATGAAATGTTAGGCCATAATATTCGGCACAAATATTCAAATACAGGAAATGTGAAATCAAGAAGAAAAACAAAAAGATGAAATGTGTCGTCCATACGGGTGGGCATGAAACGTTGTTTTAGTAGAGGTGGGTATACAAAGAACCGGAACAAACACACAAGCCAGCTTGTACTCATAAAAAAGGAATAATTTTAATTTAATTTCAATGGTAACTAGGTGGCGATGCCGCGTCTTGTTGTTGGACGGAGATGGCCTATGGACATGTATTATGTGGCCCATTTTGGTCTTTTGTTAGTATTATTAGCCTAAATTAATTTTTTGTTAGCAGTTTTGTTAGTAACATTAACTTGTAATATGATATTGACTGAGAAGAGATATATGGCGGTCAACATTCAATTTAATTTTTTTTTAAATTTGGCTAATAAATTATATTTACCTAAACTCAAGTAGACCCATTGATTATGGGTAGGATATGAGTCACGTATATATGAATTTGGAAGTTTGTAGATGGGTTTGGGTAAGGTATGGATATTTACTTTCATGATCTAAATGTGTATGAGTTGGGTATGAATACCCATTTATTCGAGAGTGTTTTAGTTACATATACAAAAATTAGACCTATTTGTAGAACTTAAAAGTTTAGGCACCAAAATGTAATACACAAAAAATTTAGGTACTTAAATGTTATGTTCCAACAATATTTTGAGGACTGATATGCCAAAAAAAATAAATTTAGGTTATTAATCTAAAGATCTATTAAGTTTAGGTACCGAACTCTAATTTGCATAGTTGATGCTTAATTCCTTTTATGGTGATGTATTTAGAATGATACTTATTTACTTTTTTATAGAAAAAATAGAAACTATTTATTTGATATGTGTAGATGCATAGCCAAACATTCCATGTATAATTGTTGAAAATTCTAGTCTGGGTGAAAAAGAAAAACTCTAGAGAGAAGCACAAGGAATACAAATTGGAACTCGTTTAAAATTTCACGTATGCAAATCCCATAGTGGAAAATGACGACTTTCTAATAAGTAATAACCATATATATTTATTTTTAATTTGACTTGACATTGAGCTGAAAAAGTTAGTGGTTCATGGTTCAATTATTAATTCTCAAGACTGTTGGTGAGTCTTGTATGGACCCGTTCATACTTGGGATCAGAATCATAAAAATAGTATATTAATTTGGGTTAGACGAAGAAGACAAAGAAAGAAATAAAGAAAGGGTTATAGAAGGTGAGTGAAAAATGAAACGAAGATAAAGTAGATGATGGAAATGTTTTGACCAATTCTTTTAGTTGGCCGTCAATACAACAATCAACTTTTTTCACCATAGCAATTTATTGATACTTACTTATATATATCTGGCATATTTTGTTACATGTAGTTAGTAGAAGTTTGTTTAGTACCCCATAAATGTACTAAATAAGTTTATAAATGCCCACTTATAATAATTTAGAGTCATCTTTCTTTTATCATTTATTTAATGTTTCACGTTATAAGCAAATATAAAATTGTCGAATCTTCTTCTACCGTTGAGACTTGAATGATAAAACATCTTGTATGGTACAAACTAAATTTATACTTTTATGTTATGGTGGATTGGATTCATGGATTGGTTCAAAAGGAATGGTGGATTGGATTTATAGATTCAAGTGAAATCTAAGTATTGGAGTAATATGTAAATTTTAAGAATTGTAGGTACGAAATTCTCATAAAATTTAGATACCAAAACATAATTGTTCAAGGATTTTACATTAAAATTAAATTTGGGGTATCATGGATTGGATTCATGGATTGGTGGATTGGATCATGAATTCAAGTGAAATCTAAACATTGGACCAATTTACATTAAAATTAAATTTAGGGTATTAAAATGTAAAATTTGGACCAAACTTCAGCTTTATATATTAAAAAATAATTAATTAATAATCTCATACTAATGTTTAATCTAAAAAAAATGTGTACTTCACAAATCCTGTTCTCAATCATTTAAGCCCATTACTCTGTACAACAACTTAAAAAACGGAGCTTACATTTCACCCAAAAAAAGAGTTTATAATAATTCAAATAACAGCAAATCATCATGAACCAAATTTAATTGTCAGTTCTCTGCAAGCTTTATTTAGCACACACCCCACGAAGAGTCGCTGTCTTTTAGCAATAAAAACACCAATGTTCTTCCATAAACTTTGGTTGCGCGGCCTCTGGTGCCAATTACGCACCAACACCCTGGGGAACTCAAAGAAACGTCGAGGTGTCGATGAAAAAGCCTCTCTAGAGTTCTCATGATTATCAGCCAGAAAGGGTTCTCTCAAGGGAGGTGATAACCGATGTTCTCAACAGCTCCCACAGTCTTGAACAATCGCCTCTTGCTGTTGTTGTTGGCCTCTGGCACCAACGAGCGATGCAACAACTGGCTCCTTTTATCCAACAGCGACCTTATCCTGCTCACCTTCCTCTGCCCCATAATACTGCAGCCTCTCCGACCACCGCCACTCTTCCACTTCTCCACCCTCTCCTTTGTCTCTCCGCCCATCTTATCTTCCACCACAGCATCCTCATTCCCGGAGCAGTAATTGAATGTCGAATAGTTGTAAGAGCTCCCCGAACTCTCATCATCATCATCATCAGTGTCCATCAGCAGCTTCCCTGTACATCACAAAGATCTCAGAACTAATCTCATTTCCCATCAACTACACCGAATTAGAAAGCTAACATTGACCCATATTACCTAAGGTTATGGTTGACGATGACACATTGCCTTCGTAATGTGGACTCTCTGAGGAAGAGCTATGATAGGCAAGGACAGAACCCCTGGAGGAAGAGTTCGAGGAGTTGGAGTAGAATGGGTGATGGATCATATCACCATTGTTGCGTCCCATGTTATCTTCTTCTACTTCATCGTAGCTAAAGCTATGCTGTTGTTGGTGGTGGAACATGATGAAGGTTTCCGGCTGTTTCCAGTTTGGGATTAAAGATGATATCTCCTCCTCAATCATCTCAGCAATAGTAGTCGGTTCCAAGTCGCTTATCTCCAGCTCTTTCACCATCTCCATAGCGACATCTATTGCAGTGTCGCCATTTACGTGGTAGGGGAAGTATATGTTCCTGGTGTGACCTGGAATTTGAATGTCAGCAGGAGTTAAAATTTGTAATTCTAGTTGTCCATAATAAAGGTCAGATGAGAAAATTCTACTGTAACTACATCTATATATACCATTGTTGTCTGAAATTTGGACGGTGAGGAAAACTGTGTCATCCTCGGGTTTCAGTGTTCCTGTGATTGTCATGTCTGTTGTCTTGGAGGGATCATCCGAGCATGACATCATCATTTCCTTTTTCGTTTCATCACCATTGGCAGTTGAGTTGTGAAATGAGAACTTTGATATCAGTAGCGATTTTGGTTCGTCGAACTCTAGAAATGGATCCAACAATAACTCCTTGGCTGATAACCTCTTTGAAGCAGGTTCTAAACATTTCCCTACAAATTTCTGGGCTTCAGCATCCTTGATCCTGTGAAACGCCTCTGGCAACTTTCCCTGATAGACAGACAACAAGTGAGTTAGACAAAACAACCTTTGGAAAGTAGCTTTCATGTAAATTGTTACGAAATGCATGGATGTATTAAGCAAAACCCACCGAGGTAACTTTCTTGTAGATTTGGGCAGGATTGGAGCACTCGCAATATGGGTACTCTGAAGTCAGCATCTCCAGAACACACATCCCAAAAGAATAGATGTCCACCAATTCATTGTACTCCTCTTCATATAGTTCAGGTGCCATGAACTCTGGTGTCCCTGGAATGCGTTCATAAGCATAACAGAAGCCAAGTAAGATAAAGATCTCCGATACCACCAACTTGCTTTCTGGAAAATTGGAACTTTTTGGGTAAGGAATATATTATTGCCTATGACACTGTGGGCATGTAGTGAGCCACGAAGAACAGCAGCTAATCCCAAATCACCAATCTTGACTTGCCCCAGGTGGCCATTGATGAAGATGTTGTCACCCTTGATATCCCTATGGATCACAGGGGGATCATGGCCATGTAGATATGCAAGGCCACAGAGGATTTGGCGCGCCCAGTTCTTCACTGCCCGAATGTCCACTCGCTGGTACTTCTTCCTATACCTGGCATATCACAACAACACAAGGTTAGAATAGCTTGAGTTTTGTTGTGGGGACTGCAGTTGCTACGTTTATTGATTATTACTCTCTTAAGCTGCCTGAGGTGAACATCTCCGTAATGAAGTTGAACGTTCTTTTGTTGTTGCCAATCCATGAAGCATGGAACTTGATGATGGAGTCATGATTCAGGTTCTTCAGAAGATGAACTTCAGAGTAGAGCCGTTGCAGCTCATCAGGGGAGTGGAAGACATTATCCAGCTTCACTTGATTCCAAGCTACTTCCATGCCAAGGACCTCATCGAATGCCTTGTACACTGTCTTCATCGCCCCTTTTCCAAGAACCTCTTTAAACTGAAGGAACAGTAAGAAAAAATCTCACAAGACAATGGCAAAATCCCCTACCAAGTAACAAACAACCTGAAACAACTTCAAGGTGATTTCACTAGATGCATTTACAAGTGAAAATTCTCCAGTGAGTGAAGGCTCAATTAGATGCACAACTGTCATGATTGTTCCATAATTCGACAACCATACATCAATACTAGGATAATAATGAAACTTGCGGAAAAGGGTTATTCAGAATAGAGAAACCAGAAACTTACACGGCCATAGCGACCAGAAGGGTCGGTCTCGACGTATCCAGGCGGTGGCGGCTTCGCCGCCCGATCAACATATCCGGCTAATCGTGGATTGTACATTTTGCTAAACTGAGAATTGAGATTAAGGAGCCCAGAAGGAAGGGAAGGATCTAAGAAGAGGGGTTTCTTTATAAAAAATAAAAAAAACTTCTTGAAGTTGACTCTGATTATTAGAGACAAGTTTGGGATCCTAAACGAACAGTTGGATTTTGGAAGTATGAGGAGGAGAAAGGAGAACTGAATCTTGTACTAGAGGAAGATAATCCGGGGCTTTCCTTCATGATTCTCATAAGAAAACACGCCAAATAATAACCAAAATAGCCTGGAGTAGTCCACACTCAGCATGATCCACGCCATTCTCACTTCCCCGCGTACACAGTCGTCGTAGCTCTGGGCGACCATTTCTCTGTCTTTTTTCGTCCCCAATACAGCAGAAGAAAATAGGGTTTTATCGAAAGGGGAAAAAAGGCTGAGAATTTAGGAAGATGGTTCAGAAGATTCAATTGCCTGGCGCGGACAGAGAAAGAGAGATTGAGCTGAACCCAGGAATGATTGTGATTTGTGAGGAACTTGAATTGGGTTCCCAGAATTTTAAAAGATGGTGCTGATTACAAGTGGGAATTGTGGTGGAAACAGAGGTTCTAGTCTATACTTGAAAAACCTATGGCCACGCCCAGGTAGCACCATCTGTGGATCACGATTATACCACCAGAATGATTTTTTTTTTTTTTTGTTGACAATGGTACCAAGTAAAATTGACTAGGGAGACTGAAAGAATCTGAAACAGGAAATGGGTTGAATCTTTTTTTCCTTCGTCGGTGAGCTGCAAATGGATCAACGAAACAATTGAACAAAATACAGGGGAAGGTCGGCGGTCAGCCTGCAAAAGAAAAGAGTGGAACTTGTTTGTGTTCTTGCCTTTTGCTTTCTTTGACGGCAACAAACTGGGCACACAAAGCAATTTTTTTATCGAACAACTACAAGGAAATAAATTAAAAAAAGAAAGAAATTGTTTTTTTTTTTAATGCTAATTATTGCTAACTATTCTCAATTTTCAAATAAACACTATTCGAAAGTCAGATTAGAGGTTTCCGTAAAAAAAAAAAAAAAAAAAAAAGAAAGTCAGATTAGAGGTCGGGTTTGGGGACAGGTCTGGTGAGGCAGCCTCCAGTGAATTTTGCCTTGTTCATTCGCAGATTCTTTGAACAAGAGACCATTGTAGAGAGGATAATTCGGTTTGTGGCATTGCTGTGGAGGATTTGGAAAAGTAGGAATTGGGTGGTGATTGATCAGGTCCAGTATGGAATGAGTACATTGATGAGACAATTTGAGGAGCAGGTTCGTGAGTGGTTGGCGTTGATTGAGTCTGGTAATTATAGGCAGGTTCAGGAGCAGCAAGGGCGCGGAGAGGCTGGTGTGGTTTGGGGCTTGCAGCCTGCCATGTCGTATTGTTGTTATGTGGATGGTGCTGTTCTTGATGGGTCTCATGGAGCTGGGGATTGGTGGTGTATGATAGGTTGGGTAGGGTGTGTTTTGTTCAAGGTTTTCGGTATGCAGGTTTGGAGGATCCCTTTCTGGTAGAGTTGGTGGCGTTCCGTGATGCAATTCAGTGGTGCTCTTTGAAGGGTTTAGTTGAAGTGCAATTCTGCGGGGATGCGAAGGTGGTCATTGACAAAATTCAGACCAGTGATGCTCGGGATGTGAAAGGTGGGCGGATTCTGGAAGAAATTCGGAAGATGCGACATCTCTACCAGCGCTTTGAGGTGGCATTTGTTGGCAGGAGTAACAATCGGGTGGCCCATGAGGTGGCTAGGAAGACCCTTTCTTTGTTGCCTGCAGTTGTAGATACTTTTGATTTTTATTGTTGGTTTGCTTTTGAGATGTAAACTTTTCTAGCTGTTTGCCTTGGTAATACAAGTGATCTATTGGTAAAAAAAAAAAAAGTCAGATTACCCTTTCGATCGGATGGCAGAGTCAGAGTGGCAACTGACACTTAAGTATTTTTTTTTTTGGCTGAGGTTTCTACTTTCTAATAGTTAGATACAAGAAATATACAAGGTTTTTCACGTCAAGTCACAAAAATCAAAAAGAAAAATTTGATATGCTGTATATTTAGCTTACCGATTCGTGGAGCGCTAGCGAAAGCGAAAACGAGAGCGTGAGAGCATCTATTCATGAAGAATTGTAAGTTTAGAGCGCCAATAGAGCGTTAATATTATATTATTTAAATAAAATATTATTTAAACAATATCATATTTTGACAAAATATCCCACACCATAGAAAAAATGGGACCAATTCAAAATCCTACGTCAAATAAAAAACATATCAGTTTAATTGTTAATGTCTTTAATTACCTATAAATAAAAGTGGAAACCAAATTAATGGCTAGCTAAGCAGTAAGCACAGCTCATTGAAATTTGCCAAAGAAGAAATCAATTTGCACTAGCCCAACTAATGGTACCTATTGAGCCCAACTTGGCTGTCAAAACTCAAAAACCCTAAAGAGCTGCTGCAATCTCAGCCGCCGACTCTGCTCCCTTCTTCCTCATGTCCAATTTCCTCCTCTCTCGATCTCTTCCTACTCTTATTAAAAACTTCACTCACCAGACCTTACATCATGTCGATCCACTCCTTCTCATCGACAAATCCCCATTTCTCCCTACCTCCTTCCAATCTTCAAAACGAAGACGAGCTTTCCCACATGCAGTATTTGAAATCCTTGATCCATACTGCAATTTCTTGTGTTCGACGAGAAATCATCCTACCAAAGTTCAAAATCTCTCCCAGTTAATTGATTCTCTTCTAGATGCAGAGACTGCATCTTTTCAGCTTCCTCCATCTGGTAGCAGATCACGTTCCCTTCATCAACCGGTTGTCATCGCCATCGAAACTTTCTCTCTTCTGTTTCTCTTAATTAGATTCACAAATTTTCCCCCGAAATTCGCGCTCCAATGATTAAAAGTTCGCAAATTTTGTATGAATTTTGTCAAATTCGCGTTTAGCCGCTCTAGAGCGGGAGCGTACAGCCCTGTTGAGCGAATTATGTGACCTAACTGTAGATTAGAGATTGAATTCATCTGTTATGTAATTAAGATCGTATTTACTTAAGGTTTTTCACATCTCCTACTCGGTTATGGATTAATCTATTTTTGGTTCTATAACTGAGTAGTAGGGATTTCATATTGCTTTCCGATCTACCCTTTCAGCCTGTCGAGGGTAGGGGTGGGGCGGGGGTATGGGTGGGTGTTTGCTTTACCACGTGGGGCTTCAATGTCAATAATAATTTCCTTTGCTATGGTATGTGATCTCGATTTGTGCTTATTATTATTATTATCTATATTTGACATTTTGTAACAAAGCGTCGCTCACAACTAGAGGATCTTGGGGACTTCTACTCCAGATGATCATATCCCTTCCTCATCATTGGGGATGTTAACAGCTCTCTGTTCCTAGCGGAGAAATATGGAGGGACCTCCTAATATATGGATAAGGCCCTCCTTATATGGGATTTCCTTAACCTCATTGGGTTTTTTTAAGTGAGATGTCAGGAGCCTAAACTTACGTGTACTAACCGTGGTAAGAACAGTGTCTTGATAGAACAAAAAAATTGACAGAGCATGTCTTCACATACTGGATGAATATTTGGCTGACTCCTGCCTTTACCACCTTTTATACAGAGGATAAGATCACTGATTGTTATGTCTTAAGACTTAAGAGGACCCCCGGAATGTCAAGAGCCAGACGACTATTTCAATTTTTTTGGGGGTCTTCTATTCATGGCTCCTTAAAATTTTGCCTCGTTTATATACTTCTTCGGGTATGTCATGCCTAGGTTGATTGGTGCAATGGTGGTACTTTGAATTCATCCAAGTTAATAAAAGATCTTACCCTCGCTCTAGATAATGCTAGAAATTCTAATATAGTCGATTGGAACTTGATAAAATATTTGGAAGATAGATTGGATATTCAGTTTTAGAGGGAGGAATTCTTATGGAAACAAAAATCGTGAGTTACATGGCTAACAAAAGGTGATCAAAATACTGTTTATTTCCATCTAATAACTGCGATTAGGCTCCAAGCTAAATTCATATGGATTTGGAGGATGCTAGGGGGAACTAGTGTACAAACGAACATGAAAAGTTAGATATTGATGTAAGCTTTTACCAAAATTTGTTCCAATCCCAAGATACAGAATGAATTAATTTGTCTAACTTTTCATTTGATGGGCTGAGCACTAAAGATCAGAGTCGAGCGCCTATGCAAGAGAAGATTAAAGGAGTAGTCTTCAGTATAGGTAGAAATCAATCGCCAAGGTCTGACAGTTACAGACTATTTCTTTCGACATTATTGTGGTTGTCCTCGCCTTCTTCCACTCAGGTAACCTCTTGCAATCCATTAATAGAACTTGGATATCTCGTCCAAAAAACCTCCGACGTACGATCCATGAGGAATCTTAGACCCATAAGCTTGTGCCAAATGGTTTATAAAATCTTAGCTAAAATTTTGGTTGCCCACTATAATATCACAGACTCGGGATGGTTTATTAAAGGACGTCAAATTTCCGATAGTATCTTAATTTGCCATGAGATTTCTCATCATCGTAAAACAATGATCTCGGGTCGAAAAACCTGGATGAATCTAAAATTGGATATGGAGAAAGCCTACGATCATGTCGAATGGTCGTTCCTTTTTAGATGATGAGGGAGTTAGACTTTGATCAAAAGTTCATATATTGAATTAAGGAATGTCTCACAACAGTGTCATATTCAGTCCTAGTAAATGGGATCATTTACAAATATTTTCACCCATCAATAGGCGTATGGTGACCCCCCCCTCTCCTCTCTCTTATTTGTTATATATGCGGAAGGATTCCCCACTTTTCTAAGACAAGCAGTTTTGATGGGATACCTAGAAGGAGTTAGAATCCATGCATATTTCCCTATGGTTTCTGATTTGTTATTTGCAGAATTCTCTTATCTCTTTTTAGCAGCCTCCCTACATTCGTTTACGACCTTCCTCTCTCTTTTCATGCCTATGAAGGTTTGAGTGGTCAACGTATCAATCTGAGCAAATCATCTATCTTATTTAGCCACAATATGAACCAAAATTTAGCTTTGGAGTTAGGTTCTCAATTAGGAGTGGTAACATAGGTGAACAAGATTGTTATCTCCGCTCAATAATTTTGAGATCTAAGAAGGAATCTTTCAAATTCATTGAGGAGAAACTCAATAAAAAATTACAAGGATGGAAACAACGAGCCTTGTCTAAGGCGGGCGTAGACATTGGCGTTGGGGAGCTCAAAGACGGAGGTCTGGCGGAGGTGCTGGGAACTTGCTATTGCCCGACACAACACGAGCAGCCACGTCGTCTGCTTCGGGAGTGGATTGGGCTGGTACCATTGCGGTGATCTTTTGGAGCCTATAGTTTCCCCGATAGATTCCGTGCTGGAGCCGCTCGAACTTGGTCAGGTTCTTGTCGGAGTCCACGTGGGTTAGGGTGACCTGGAAACTGCCGGTGGCAGAGGTGGTTGGGTCGAGCTGGGTGAGCTGCCTGGAAGTCGAGGCTGCCGGTATAGCTAGTAACAAGGCGGCTGTTAGCAGAAGCAGTGGGAGAGCACTCGTGAGAGAAGCCATTGATGGATTTTTCTTATTAATGTTGTGGACTGGGAATGGGGATGTGGGTATTTATGTACATGGAAGCAATTAAGCAAACTATGTATATTGTCGCAGATAATGACGTTGGCATCTTCAAGCTTCCCAACGCCAACGTCTCCGCCGCCTGCCTGGCCGCTCTCCGGACCAACCTTGCCGCCATCTCGATTGACCCAAGGAGGAAGTCCGTGATAGCGATAGCGGCTACTGCTGATCTGCCATGACGAGGACTGGTTTAAAGAAATTAGGATTTTTTTCATGTATAATAATTAGATGAAAAATAAAAAATAATTATATTTTATTATTTTTAAGTGTCACGTCACACATTTAACGGTCAACAAAAATGAATGCTTATAAAAAAAAGTCACAAAAATGAAAAAGAAAATTTTGATCTACTGTAGATTAGAGATTGAATTTATCTGGTATGTAATTCAGATCATATTACTTAAGGTCTATCACGTCTCCTACTCAGTTATGGATTAATCTATTTTTGGTTCTATAAACGAGCAGTAGGGATTTCATATTGCTTTCTGATCAACCCTTTCAGCCTGTCGGAGGGTAGGGGTGGAATTGGGGGGGGGGGGGGGGGGGTAATGTTTGCTTTACCACGTGGGGCTTCAGTGTCATTAATAATTCCCTTTGCTATGGTGTGTGATCTCGATTTGTGTTAATTATTATCTATATTTCACATGTTGTAACAAAGCGTCGCTCACAACTAGAGAATCTTGAGGACTTCTTGATATGATCCCAAATCGCCAACCATTCACGTCACAATTACTTGACAAAAAAGCCATCAAAGTTGGGAAGAAGAAGGGCAGAATTTGGCTAAGTCAAAATCCATGTTCAGGGTACATACTTTGGAGGCATGGTTCTCTCAATTTGCTTGGTGGAAATTCAAGTTTAAGGGTTTGTTTTGCAGATCAAGTTACCATCTTTCCAATGGTATACTTTTTGGATCCAGAAGATGTCATTAAGGTTGTTTTCCAAGGCCTCAAAGTTGCTACCTCAAAACTGGAAAACTGCCAGAAAATGGTTAAGTCTGGAAACTGTTTTGTGAAGCCTACTTTGGAGCTCAGTTCAAGGAGCATGGATCTGATTCGAGACCAAAGGCTTCTACCACATGAAACTAGGTATGTTTGTGAACAAAGGGAAGGAATTGGATGAAGAATTGGAGTTCGGGAAGGCCTCGAACGAAAGGCGTGAAGTTAGTACAAAAGCTGCCTTTTGACTGTTTGCTGGCAGCTTACTTGTGCTTCAAGAAAGGAAGTTTAAACCCGAATTTTGTAAACTTTTTAGAGTAGAATTTTACCTTATTTGTTTCCTTGTTCATCTAGGTTTGTATTAGGTTTTCTTGGCTATAAATAGCCTTCTATTTACGTTGTAAAAACTTAGACTTTGATTAATCGAATTGAGAACCTTTTGGTTTTTGTGCAAGTTGCGACTTGTGTTGAGTTTGGTGGATTCCAAGCTCGTGAGCTCTTGTATCGATTGAATAGTCACTTCAATCGTGGTCGGGCATCTACCTTTTATACCAATCGAGCTATCCCCAGGTGTGGATTTGTCCTTTTGGTTCCGTTTTATCCAAGATCGTATTAAGAGCGCTTTGTTCTTGATTCGAGCTCAATCGATTCTTCGATTGAGTCGTTAGCTGCGTGACTTTGATAACATACACCCCTCAGGGGCGTATTACTTCTACTCCCGATGATCATATCCCTTCTTCATCATTGGGGATGTTAACAGCTCTCTGTTCCTAGCGAATAAATCAGGAGGAACCCCCTGAAATATGGATAAGGCCCGCCTTCTATGGGATATCCTTAACCTCATTGGGTTTTTTAAGTGAGATGTCAGGAGCCTAAACTTACTTGTACTAACCGTGGTAAGAACAGTGTCTTGTTGGAACAAAAAATTGATAGAGCTTTTGTCTCCACATATTGGATGAATATTTGGTCGACTCCTGCCTTTACCACCTTTTATACAGAGGATCATATCACTGATTGTTGTTCCTTAAGACTTAAGAGGACCCTGGAATGTCAAGAGCCAGACGACTATTTCAATCTGCTGGGGTCTTCTATTCATGGCTCCTTAAATTTTTGCCTCTTTTATAGACTTCTTCGGGTATGTCCTGCCTAGGTTGATTGGTGCAATGGTGGTACTTTGAAATCATCCAAGTTAATTAAAGATCTTACCCTCGCTTTAGGTAATGCTAGAAATTCTAATGTAGTCGATTGGAACTTGATAAAATATTTGGAAGATAGATTGGATATTCAGTTTAAGAGGGAGGAATTGTTCGGGAAACAAAAATCGTGAGTTACATGGCTAAAAAAAGGTGATCAAAATATTGCTTATTTCCATCTAATAACCGCGATTAGGCTCCAAGCTAAATTCACCTAGGGTTTGGAGGATGCTAGGGGGAACTGGTGTACAAACGAACATGAAAAGTTAGATATTGATGTAAGCTTTTACCAAAATTTGTTCCAATCCCAAGATACAGGATGAATTAATTTGTCTAACTTTCCATTTGATGGGCCGATCACTGAAGATCAGAATAGCGCTCCACTTGATCAAATTACGCAAAAGAAGATTAAAGGAGTAGTCTTTAGTATAGGTAGAAATCAATCGCCAAGTTCTGATAGTGATTCGGGCCTAATTGCAAATGTTTGTGCCAAATTCGCTCATAAAAGGTTGATGTTACGCTAGGTTTTTCGTGTTTGAGTGTGTTTCAGGATTTAACAGGTGAAACCAACCTCAGAGTCGAAAATTTGGCAAAAAGGATCAACAACCGGGAGAAGAGGTGAAAAAGAGCTAGTTCACTGCTAATTGAGGGAGTTCACGGTCATGCAAGACCGTGAAGAAGAGGAGTTGACCGTGAATCGTGAGGCGTCCAGAGCCAAAGTGAAGGTTAGTGACACGAGATGAGTTCACGGTCACGAAGACAGTGAACAAATGCAGTTGATCGTGAACAGACATGAGCAATGCAGCGCGTTTTGGCGCATGCCTGGAGTTCACGGACGCGTTACATGGTTCACGACCGTGAACTCAGCTCATCTCGGGTTTAAATGATGAGCTGAAAGTAGGAGAGAGGGGAGAACCCACTTTTATGTGAAACACCTTCTTCAACATTCTAGTTAGAGAAACAGAACCAAAGGGAAGAAGAAGGTTAGGGTTTGGCTTCAAGGCAGATTTTGGGAAGATTTCCTCCAAGGAAAGCTCAACTCAAGGGTCAAGAAGACTGGGAGCATCCTCAAAGATGGTTTCCAGCTTTTTCCCTTTTGTTTTTCCCACTTCTAGCATGGATTAGACCTCCTTTCACTTGGGTGTAGTGAAACCCTAACTCTACCATGTAGTTTTCTTGTATGCGTTTTGGATGATTGTCATTGGGTATTGTTCAATTCAATGATTGAGGCATTATTTATCATGATTGTGCTTACTTGTTCTTAGCAATGTAGGGGTTGTGCATGTTTTGTGCTTAGCATCCTTAGGTTTGTGCATTTAGGTACTTAGCAACCTAAGTATTGTGCATAGTTGTGCTTAGAAGCACTAGGTTTGTGCATTTAGGTGCTAGTAATCTAATTTGCCACCTTAGCCTAGCTTAGAGATGGAAATCCCCCTTTCAAGGGAGACTCAATCGAGTTAGTTTTACTTCCTCTTTCTAAGCCACCTAAACTAGGTTAAGTTAGGGCGAACCTCAATATTGAGTTAAGCAAGTCGATTAATCGTGATCAAACCGTCCGACCTTAGAATTGAGTGAGGGAGTAAGTCAATTACCGATTGTCTAAACCGAGAGGGTCGAGTGACACGGCCTTTCATCCTTACCTCGGTTTAGCAATTGAGATTGTGGTCTCCGACCACATATGCATTCCTCTGCGGTTCATGATTAACATGCCCAAGACAATCGTTCCAATCCACATAGCATGGTACCGGTTAGGAGGAAGCAACACCCAAGTGACTTTCCCACGAAAGAGTTTTCAAACCAAATTGCCTTTTCTTTCTTTCATTTTAATTAGAAAAACTTTAAACCAAAGTTTTGTCGCTAGATAATGATTTCAACAACCGAAGTAGGGGTGGACGGACCGGCCCGGGTCGATATCTAAATACTTGCCCTATACTGCACCCGATTAGAGTTTAAAAACTGGGGCTCTAATTAGGGTTTTATCGTGGTGTAGTTTCGTGCGAGTCAAATTTTTGGCGCCATTGCCGGGGACAACGTTTTGTTATTCTAAAAAAGTTGTTGGTTGTTAATATAGCTTTCAATTTCCAGTTTTGCAAGTGTGTATTCTTTGTTTGTGCGAGACTTGGTGTGTTTTCCGATTGTGTGTAGGTGGTGCATGACCCAAAGCAACCTGACACCTTTGCTACCGCATGACGAAGACATTAACCGAACCCTCCGACTCCTAGCATGGGAGAGGGGCCTAGTGGAGGTAAGGAGAAGAGTGAAAGAGGGGGACAACGTTTGGGTCTCGGTGTTAGTGGAGAAGTAGTTGAAGCAGCGCAAGTTGAACCCATCATTGAAGAGGAAATGGAGGGGAACCAAAGGCAAGATGGAGTCGCTCATGCCCACCAGATTAACGATGCGGCGGAGGAAGAGGATGCTCTGAGGATGATGGGGTACTATATGGCCCCAAGGCTGGTGGACATTCAATCGCCGATCCTACAGCCTCCGTTGGCGGCAAGAAATTTCTAGATAAAGCCGACTCTAGTGACTATGATACAAAGTAATGCTCTATTCCACGGTCTTGAGAGCGAGTCACCAAGAGAGCACGTGCAGAGATTCTCGGAGCTCGCGGGGAGTTTGAAAATTAATGGTGTGTCGGCCGAAGCTTTGAAACTAAGGCTTGTCCCTTACTCACTCTCGGGGAAAGCACTTAGGTGGCTTAGAAAGCGGTCTATCACCTCGGACTATCACCTCGTCCTATCACCTCATGGGACGACCTCCTCAACAAGTTTATGGCTCGTTATTGCCTGCCATCAAAGACGGCGGAGTGGAGAAATAAGATTACACATTTCGAGCAAAAAGAGGACATGGATGCTTGGGAGAGAT